CCAACCTAGCAGTTCGAAAGCACGTGAAAAAATGCACGTAGAAAAATAGGGGCCCTTTTGGTGGGAACGTAAACAGCGTTCCGTGCACCTTATCGGCGTTTAGTCCTGCCGGCCACATGACCACGGAGACGTCTTCGGACAGCGCTGGCTTTTCTACGGCTTTGTAACGGAGATGAGCAGCGCCCTCTAGAGCCCGAAACGACTACAACAAAGGTGCGAGGGGAACCTCTACCTTTACCTTATGGCTGCTTCCTCCTTTCACAGGCTCAGAAGGAGCCCGGCCAGAGGGCAAAAAAAGGCCCGGGAGAAAGGCCGGTGGGAGGTGGGGGAGGAGGTCTGGCGGCTCCTCGGATGTCCCCAGCCTCGAGCAAGGCGGCCACTATCTGGGCCCGCTGACCCTCGCTTCTTCCCAGGGCCTTTCCGGCCTCTTATCAAGGCAGCTCTGGTTGCTCAGCTCTGGCCAGAGCTATCTCACACCAGCCGGTCAGCCACGTCACCAGGGCAGTGAAGGGCCACAGCGCATTCCCACTGGGGACCGAGGCTGGAAAACGTCCCTCGATCCGACACGGAGGTGGAGTCCCCCAGAGAGCAGCGGCCCCCACGCCTCTCGCCTCTCCTCAACCAGGAGCCCCTCCAGACTGCCACTTCACCCCATTTGCAGGCACTTTGGGGAAAGGGTCTCTGCCAGGCCGGGGCAGGGCAGGAGTGGGGCCGAGCTGCACCAGGCAGTGCGGGGCTCCTGGGATTCGGGGCTCGGCCATCCCAGGTGGGAAGTTGCAGAGCGGCAGATTGAAGCCAGAGGCAGGTGGTCCCAGGTGTGTTGGAAAGAGCATGGACACACACACACACAGCCCAGCCGCAGGAAGCCCCACTCCACCTGGGTTCGAGGGCTCCCTGTGGCCGGAGAGCAGGCTTGGTCTCCCTGGAGGGAGGGAGCAGAAGGCCAGACTCCTCTAGACCTGCCAAAGCCCAAGCAGGATGCCCCGGGGACAGTCCCAGTTGTCTTGGGGGCTGTTGTTGTCATCATTGTCGTTGTTCTCCTCCTCTTCCTCCTCCTCTACCACCACCACTGCAAACCGTGTTGCCTTCTACCACTGATGGTGTTCCCTAGTTGGGTCACAGAACATCCACAAGAAAACAACCCAGCTCAGAGAGCATCAAGGACCCCACAGCCACTGCCATCCTCCTCTTCCTCCTCCTCCTCTTCCTCCTCCTCCTCCTCTTTTCCCGCCTCTGCCTCCTCCTCTTCTTTCTTCTTCCTCTTCTTTTTCCACCTCCCCTTCTTCTTCCTCCTTCTTCTTCCTCTTCTTTTCTTTTTCCTCCTCCTCTTCCTTCTCTTCCTCCTCTTTTCCACCTCCTTTCCCTCTTCCTCCTTTCTTCCTCCTCCTCTTTTTCTGCCATCTCTTCCTCCTCCTTTTTTCCTTCTCCTCCTCCTTTTCCTCTTCCTCCTTTCTTTCTCCTCCTCTTCTTTTTCTGCCATCTCTTCCTCCTCCTTTTTTCCTCCTCCT